AATGGTCATTCCCAACAAAACAGGGTGATATGAAATAGAAATATATTACTTGGTAATTATTATCATTTGTACAACTCGGCAAATCAGCACGAAGCCACAGGGAGTACCAGTAGATGTCAGTCCGAAGTCTTGAACAAGAACTTCAATGTCAAATGAACAGTTGTTAAAAACAAAAGACCCAGGTATGGTGGATCGATTACTGTTCATGTGTGCCACACAGGCCAAGTCCTAATTGCCCCTGAAGGTCAAAAACTCAGTTACTGACAGTTAGGCACCTCTTAATTATAAAAGTAATGCGTTTCCACTCCCTTGTTTGCCGTCAGGTTGGCCGTCATGTTTGTGAATGTCTCATCTTGGTGGGTATTAATGCCAAAAAAATAATATGATGATGAGACTATAATGCTCTTTATAACACAAGAATACCTAAATCCACAGCAGCCAAGGCACTATAAAAGTCAAGGACTGTTACCCTTATAAATCCATTAAAATGATCTGGTTGAAATCTATGTTGAAAGCAATTGCAAACCCCCTTTAAGGCAAGGCAGAAATCTACAGAAATTCTACCAAAAACTGGACTGGAACCACCTTAAGGACTCTAATATTTGTCTCCAGTCTGTTGACTTGTTCAGAGCGGCAGTTATCAGTGACTAATGTCCGCAGACACACATTTACCTATTGTGTCTAACAGGCCCTGTGACGATAACCATTGGCAACATTATTTTTGTTTTTTAATTTTTTTTAATTTTTATATTAATTGCTTTGTGCTCTCAGCTGAAACTCTACATTTGAGAATTTTCATTTTAGTTAAAGGTGATAGTCCAGGCAGTTGTGGCTGGAAGCCAAGTTGTAGGTAGGGCATTTACTAGAGCATTACAGCAGGAATGGGCTGCCAGTCAGCAAGCAGCAAAGCGCCAAGGAGGTGGAAAACAGGGGACAAAATCAGCAGTAGCTGACCTAAAGAAAGGGTTAACTATACAGGTTAAGTGTCAGAAGTCACAGAAAATGAAATTGGGATGACAGTATTTAAGTAATTTAAGTACACATTTAAGTACACATTTAAAGTTTTGAGTAATTCAAAGGAATTTTGGAATATGCTTCTGTCCTCCAGAAAACTTATTGTGAAATTAGTTTGAAGCTTTTATTTTGTTAAATACACATTAAGGATTATTTCAGATCAGTAGTACTATGAATTTATGAGATTGTACGTTATTTTAATAGTTATTTGTGTTTTTGCAAGAATATGAGCATCTTTGCCAGTTTACGTAATGTATTTATTTGACTTTCATTTATTTCCCTAAGATAATTAGGGAGACTTAAAAAAATACTGTAATCAATTCTGACACTTTGGTTATTTCAGGAAGCAAAACAGATACTGAATGTATCAGACTTAAATGATGTTGAAAAAATACAGAAAAACTATGACCACTTATTTGCGGTCAATGAAAAATCCAAAGGAGGCTCATTTTATTTACAGTCAAAAGTAAGTATCTGTTTTTTTAAAGAGGCTGCATCGCCTCCATCAAAAACTTTACTAGCACTAATCTGCTTATAAGCTTCTAAGGTAGAAATTGGTATTTTGTGGGCCGATTATGTTGAAAATTCTCCATTTAAGAAACAAGCCAATCTCTAGAAAATTAAAAGCCTTTGACAAGTAATAATATGAACATGTTTATCATATCTCTGTAGTATGAAATCTGAAATACATAAAAAAAATGAAAGTTTTTTTTTTTTTTTTTTACTTAATATGAATGACTTGTACATAGTAGCCTATGCATGAATACAACTCAGAGGAATTTTGTTTGTATTTTATTTTATTGAATTACTATTGTTATTTACATGGAACACAAGTTTTTGTACTTGGGACCAAAAGTATGAGAGTGTGTGTAGGAGAAAAATGCCCTCTGCATACACCTATCATTGCAAAAAATGAAAGCAAGTATAATTAATGCAAAACATAAAACTAACAGCTTTTTGTGTATATATATATGTTTATGTTAATTGTACTGGCATATGCCTATTGCCCTAAACATGAATCCACGATTGATATTTGTCAACTGTAACCAAAAGAGATGAGCTAGATATTATAATAGTTAAGTGTCAGTTTGGCGACTTGAAAATTCTAACTGTGACCCAATTCTCCAAGGTGTACTTTGGTACCTTCATGGGTAACAAGGCAAACTCCATATTTTCATGTAAAAATAAACATTTCCCAAGGTTTGTAGTATTATATTGATCTTAATGTACAAAAATTAATAGCCAGGATTGAATAATTGGCATCTTGTAGTAGATAGATATCGTTTTTTGTTTTGAATGAAAAGAGGCAGTTCTCTATTTTGTCATGTTGAAAGTTTCAGGTTAATAAGCATTTTATGACTTACATGTGGCTTTTCAAAACATTGGTAACAAATTCTATTAAATGATTGTCAAAATTTTTATTATCTAGTTATTCTAGATTAGATTAATTTTTATAAATCACTTTAAAGTGTAATTGTATGATTGTACAATTAATACAGATATTAAAAAAGGGCAAAGTTGGTTGCAAGTTCTTTTGCTTTTCATTCCAGGTATATAGAGCAAAAGAAAGAATTGATGAAGAAATTCAAGACAAAATGCAGAAGGAACGATCCCAATTTGAAGAAGAACAGTCATCGCCTCCTAAAACATGATAAAAGCTGAACTTAGGATATACATTTTTACATTGTGTTTTCTGGGGAAGTTTTAGCTGTGGCCTCTTTTTTTCAGTCATGTCTGGCATTGATTGCAGTGACATTGTCTATAGTAAATGGAAAACAAAATAACATAAACCATCAATGAATTAACTCATGTGTGATGTCCCAATTTCAATGTCTGAAGAAGCTTTGGTGGAGGAGGGAGGCATTCAAAGGGCTTATTTTTCTAAGTCTACCTAAGAAAATTCAGTCAGTTTTTATTTAAAATATTTGTAAATATAAAATAAATAAAATATTCTTTTCTTTTGCTATGGACTGTTGTTTGTTTACATTGAGACAATAAACACATTGAGTACAGGAAATTTAGAAAATATATTTCCATGGTAACCATATATTGATTGGCACACATTATAATATAAAACACCTTCATGGTATAAACACCAATGTTACACAACACGCAAATAAATCATAAATTGTCATGCCACCCCCCCCCCACCCCCTCCTCAATTTTTGTTTTATCACCCTGGTTCTGTACCATACCGAAACTCTGTTGATTCAAATGAAATGTCCTGTAACATCGATCCAACTGTGGGGACTCTTGCTGAATGCAATCAGATTAACATGCCTCTCGTTTCCAAAGCACGTGTAAAATCACTAGCTTTTCTGTAAATCTACTCAATATCAGGAATTGGAGCGATTTACATGGAATGAAAAGTGTTATTTGGAATGGGCCTAATAACTAAAGACAACTGGATTTTTCAATGCAAATAAATTGTCATCACTTTTTGTGGAATCTTTATTGCACAAATGTGAATTAAATGTAAATGAATGCTGTTATGTTGAAATATGTCAGGGGAGGATGGAAATGGTTTAAGAATTAGAATATCTTTTATTACAAGTTATTAATTTAGGTATGAACGAGTAGTAAGAAGTAACATCTTGCAGCTACTGTAACACCTGAACCTGATAAATTCTTAAAATATCACTAACTTTAATACCACCTCTGTCAATTTTCATGAAACTGGTTTAATTTTAATTTAACAATCATTTTAAATATAGCCTCTGCATTTCTGTGCTTATTTTCAAATGCCAAAAGAAAGACGTAGATTCTTGCTAACTACTCTAATTCAACTGTCATGAATGAAAAATATCTATTGTTATGAAGTGTTAATATGGAAAATGATATGCATGCCTTAACAGGCTGGTCCCAATCAAACTATGCCTGTACAAAGTACATAAATGTTAACAAGTTGATTTATTCAGTACTGTAACTGCAGTGCTACACAGGTTGAACTCTCATTGTACACTGTATAGTGACATGGTTCTTATGGCTGTTTTGGTAATTTTGATATAAATAAAATAATTAAATTATAGTGTGTCAAGAGACGCAAATTAAGAAATCAGTTCATTTCAATCAATTCCCCTCACTGCATTAGAGATAGCTTGGAAGTTTAGATTTCATCAACTTATGAAAACTTTTCATTTTTGACATGAGGTTCCCATGTATACTTCATTTTATATGAAAAGCAAATATATTACAAGTGTATATACTTTTGAAATAGCACACGTATTAAAAAGTAAAGAGATTTTTTTTTTTCGAAATAAAGTTAGATTAGGCCTGAATAAAGAGGGATTGGGAAATAATTTTGCTTTGCAATGTCTATTTTTGGTAAAGGTTGAAATTGTAAGTTGAAGTGTTAACATGCAAAATTTGCAAGTTTTAAGTCTTTCCTGTGTGCAGGGGAAGTTAATTTCCTTGAACAGATGCCATTACATATTAGCCCTATTATCGGTTTTGTACAAGTTTTATTTTTGACACAACGAAGCCAACATCTGAAAGCATACAAATTTTCAAACATTTCTCACCAAATAAGACACACTGTGACAGTGGAAGTTCAATGGTGATCAAATGACAATTTTTTCTAGATAAGACTCGTGTTCCAATTTGGTTTTAGTTTCCATTTATATATCAGACTGGCTTTTTATAAACACTTCAAAAATATGAGAATCCCAGTGTCAAATGTCTGGAGAACCAAATAAAAATGATTTAGGGCACTTGCATGAAGACTTTTACAATTCAGACACATTCTGCATTGTACTTATTCCAGTAATACTTGCACCAGGTGTGGGGTTTATTGTTACGTACAAGTTACAACTATTTTTTTCTGATCCTTCAAATGTGAGCCAAGAGTCTCAGTCTGTGATATATTTGGAAAGGAGATCAATTTTATATCTGTCTGATGGAATATCAATTGACAGCTTAGTGGAAGATAAAAAGAAATGATTTGTCACCCAGTGTAGAATTAGACATGACAAACAAGGCAGCAAAGCTGTGAAATGTATAGACATACAGCAGAATAAGATGACAAGACGGCATGAAGTTCAGCTTACAACAGGTTATATTTGCAACATGACATGTGCATTATGTGAATAGAACTACTTAATATAAGCAATACGTGACTGGGTAAATGCATATACTGACATCTTTACAGCAATCACAAAATCATAAATTAAAATTGATGAAGAATTCCTTTTCCAATTATGGCATACTAATGCTTCTGTTTTCACATTAAAATATCAACTGAATCTTTAATTAATTGAAACTCTTCTGTCCTACACATGATAATTATTCCTGGTCCTTTTAAGTGATTTTCCAGCATCCTATGGCTGAAAAAATCATCAGATCTATGCGATTCCGAAGATAGAAAGTTACTGCTACCTTCTATCATGATACAGTGCAAAGGAAACAATTCTAAGGATGAAAAATATAAATACATAACCTTTACAAACCACAGACAAACTTGAACTGGAACTTTTCTTATTAGAAAAAAAAAACAGTTTCTTAGTTTTCTACATGTAGACCAACCAAAAGTTGTGACAGCAAACTCAATTCAGAGCAGTTCAAGTATCAGTTTTGTTTTCCCCTGAAACAATTTGCATCAAAACCCAAATTCAGGCTTTATGGGGCTTAAAATTTGAAGCAATTTCAATTAATCTGAAAGGAGATTCTGCTTAACTGTTTTCTCTAAATCATGTGTTTACAATCAAGTTGATCTCAGTCTGTGTTGATCAACTCCCACTTGGAGCTGTACCCAGACCCCACTGGGTCGCTATGGTTACTGTCACCATGGTTACTGTCATGAGCAAGAATAGGGCTTGTGGACAGATCCAAAGGAGTGTCCTGGCACTTGGTCTCATCCACATCCTCATCTAACATCTCTGTATCAGTGGACAGGTTCTTAGGCGATTCAGATGTGTTGCTGTCGGTGGAGGACACCATACGATCTGTCTGAGTGGAGATTGACTGAGTGACAGGTCCCGAGAGAGCGATGACTGCCGAGGAGAGCAATGGGTTGGACGCTAAGGTGGACAAAGGTAACATACTGCTTTGGATGGAGATAACATGATGGGCAGGCAGAGAAGCGGTGGGATTCAGAAGCCCATTTCCACCTCCACCCCCATAACTCACAGGCAAACCTGCTGCTGGATGATGGGGGAACACTGTTGGCAGTAACATGGACTGATGGTTATCCATCATTTTTGGCATTGGGTGATGAGGGGGGATATTTGAAGTATGGTGATTGTTAACAATGTCTCCACCTCGGAAATAGTGGGAGTTTGTTTTAATGTGCTTCCTCAGGGAGCTTGGGTCAGTGTAACGTTTGTTGCAGCTGGGATATTTACAATAGTATNCCAGTGTTGGGCTTTACATGCTCTACAAAATGCAAAAAAGAATGGGTCTCTAGCATTAACGGTTCCCGAATTAGAGACAGTTTTCAGTTTCGGTATCTTATGGCCGCTACTCCTGTGAAAATGCACCGATTGACCCCAAATTCACGGAGATGAAAGATGACCTGAAGGGTAACACTTTCCAATAATATTATTGGTTAAGTCTGTGTGGTGTCTGAATAACAGGGCAAAAAATTTTTTTTTCGTAAAAAATTTCATTTTTTTGAAAATTTTGGCCCATTTGACCTTGAAGTAAAGGTCAAAGGTCAAATCCGAGGGTATATTTGAAATCTACACATATGACTTTTGGAAAGCCGTCTGTAGAAATTTTTCCCGTAACTCCTTCCGTAGGGTAGATAATTAGCATTTAATTTTGCCATTTTTGGACAAGGGTGCATTGCAATGAGTGCCACACCCAGACCCCAATACCGACAAAGCCCAAATTTTACGTGGAACGAGTTGAGATTATAGGTGACCTAAATCCATGAGATGGGTATGGGGGGCCTTACCGTCTAGGAGGAGAAGCGGTAACGGTAGCCGTCCGGCGGAGCCGGCGGAGCCGGCGGAGCCGGCGGAACGATCCGGACGAGACCGAAACCATGTGTACCGCCAGCGCTAACGCTGGTGGTACAATAATAACTTTACAGCTACAGAAACTATAGTCTCAACTCAAATTTCAAAGAAAGAAGTATAACACATTAAATAATAACTTTACAGCTACAGAAACTATAGTCTCAACTCAAATTTCAAATAATAAACCCATACAATATATAATGAAAACTTTGCACAATTTGTCCTAACCTGTATGAGATCTATTATGGATCTTGAGATTCTCCACTCTTGAAAAGCTCTTTCCACACAGGTGGCATTTATGTGGCTTTTCATTTGTGTGTGTGCGGACATGGATCAACATCTTGTACCTGACATATTCAAACAGAATGGAATTACTGTAATGAATAATCTAATGCAGCAAAACTGTCAACTGTGCAGACATCATCTGTTGAACAAGATAAAACACAAGTTACAAACACAAACAAGATTTGTCACAATAATCTAATGGGCTTTTAGAGAAGGGACACTCTTGTGACAATAATCTGAGTTTTAGAGAAAGGTTACTCTTGAGACAATTATCATATGGACCTTGAGTGAAAATGTCATGGTAATTTTAAATACCTGGCATTGAAGCCTTTTCCCTTCCTTGGGCATCCTTCCCATCGACACTTGTAGTCATTATCTGTATCCCTGTCAGCTCTAACATGATCATCATTAACATGATTAACTAACTCGTCCAACCTGGTAAAAATATACATTTAATCATGATCATATGTATATCTTAATATTCTTCATTCAAGAAAAAGATTCTCATAACAAGTGCTATATTCATTGAGTTCCCAGGCTTTCCCAACTTTTTTCTTTAAAAAATTTGTATCTAATCATCTTTCCTCAAATTGCTTTTCCTTGGGGAAAAAACTTGTTCATTACTGATCAGTTAGTTTGCCCTGGCAAAGTTCAAACTTGCATGTAGTTAAACAACAAGTCTATCATATCTTTTTCAAATTACAAACCCATTTGAGAGCCAAATGACCAAACATAACACACAAATTCTCACCTGTCTACATTTTTCTTGCACCCTGCCCAGCGGCATTCATGGGGTTCTTCTTGTAGGCTAGCCCTGCTGTCTGGCAACACAGAGGGAGGTGGATAGAACAGCTTCAGGCACACAGGTTGCATAGGATTGTGAGAGGACTGCACCCCTGGAAGCTATAAATATAAAAAAAAATTATAGCAATTAATTAACTGCAGGTGGTTGTAGACAGAACAGCAGCAATTATGGGCCATTCGTGGTATTTTTTTGCTGTTTTGGAAGGACACTTAAAATGAAAATATCTAAAAAAGAAAAAAAAAAGTTGGAAGGCCCATTTTTTATTCCTCTATATGCAAGTTATATTTAGGCAAAAATTTATGATTAAAAAGATAATAGTTGAAGAAAAATAGTTATAATTAGTGAGCATCTTGGAAGGACATGAAATGGACATGGAATTTATTTTTAACTTTGTCAGGTGCATACTATAAATACGTTTTTGTTATCTCGCACCACCAGAGGTTCTTCATTACTGGAGGCTTTTATGTCAAATTTGCTTTTTCAAAAAAATCTTAAAAATACAATGAATGTAAAAATGATGAGGAACACAATAAATGACGAAAAGCACTGAACATAAAATTACATTTCTGAAGTTGCAGAGATTTAAAAAAGATGTAAAATAAAATAAAAAAGTTTGACAAAATAATTAAAAAAAGCACTACCCCTTATTCCCCAGATTTTTCACCAGTTACACTTGTTTACATAACATTAAATATAAAACTGAATGAAAAATGTGTGAAATCAAATGTACTGAACTTACATGCATGATTGTTTCTTCAGCTCTGTTCCCCAAGTGGGAACGTAAGATTGTTGGATGTGTCCTAAGCATGCTGGGTAACACTGATGTCGATCCTTCTATTACAGCTGAACTCTGAATCAAATTTATTTTCACAGAATTCTCCCCTGTAGCTGATTCAGTAGTCACTATCAAAGTCTGGTCCCTTTCTGATGAAGTTACAGTATTTCTTGCAGTTTTAATGTTACTATTAACAACGTTAATACCTGTGGGCGTGCTTATCACATGATCGTCATTTGCACACAGCCCATTTCCCTCATCAGAACCTTCTCTACCAGGAGGGGGGTTGAGATTATCACTTTGGCAATTAACGGGGCATTGTTCATGTATTGTAACAGTCATAGGAATTAACAGTTCTGACCCAGCTTCATTATTTTGTCCGCTTTGGTCTGTAGGAGTGGCTCTGTGAGAGTTATTTCTGATGGTATTGGGGTTGGTGATGATTACTTGATGGTGACGTGAAGCATCAAAAGTCACACCTGCACTTGACAAAGATGTGTGTTCCAAAGAATCTAAATGGCTACCTGAAAAAAAATTTTTAAAAGTTAACAATATTAATGAAAATAAGAATTAAAATATCAATCATAAAACTAAACAAACCAGACACCAAAGATGTCACATATACAGACATTAAAAATAGATTTAAAGATTCTGAGGCAAGTTTAATGACACCTAGACAAACTGTCTTAACAAGAGTTTTAAATCATGCACAATCCAGAAGTCATGTGAGAACACAGTTTGCAGCCGGGATGGCCTAATTGTTACAATTATGGCTAGTGTTAGGAATGATGGTTGGTTAGTCTGACAAAAACACTGTTGCAGGAAAAAATTCCTAATGTATTAATATTTTGTGGGAAAATTGTATCTACTGTGCCTTTTAAGTAATTTTTGTAAAAATTACGATATGGCATCAACACTGACATGGATAGACACAGTAATCTGAATATTTAAAGATGCATTTCAAGTCAAATTTTTGCCACAACAGCTTACTTTCTGTGCTGTATATAACTCAAGCAGCTAAGTAGGTCAATTTACAACCAAAAATTTGAAGAAGTTGAATAATTAAAGCCATATTATGGTTGATCAATTGATAAAATTAGTTTATCCCTTGGCATGTTGACTTTATATGAGTTGTATAAGAAACTGGTAGAAGTGGTTTATATGCGTTACTGGGAAACCAACATTAAATACATGCAGTGTCTGTAAAAACAATGCTAATTCTGAGGTCATTATCTGTACAATGTTCTATTCTTGACAATTAAAAAATTGATATTTTATTCCTGTGTAAATTTTTCCAATTTACAATACTGAAACAATTAATTTGGCAACTGATTTCTTGGAAATTTGAGCCTCCACTTCCTCATCACTGTTTTACTTGGCTTATTACTAATTTCCCCTTC